GATGAGGGAGAAAACTATTTCATCCATTTTAGATTAAGGCTGTAACGTAACAAAATGTGGAGAAAGTCAAGGGGTCTGAATACTTTCCGAATGCACTGTAGCCTAGTTTCAGCAGAATATAATCTGCAGGCAGCAAAAGTGTGCAGCTCTCAACTGGTTTTGGCATGGAGCAGCTAACAGAAGAATTACATCGGTAGCCGGTAGGGTAGGAAAGACGTTTCAACTTATGAGATCTACCAGTAAATGCTAACTAAGGCAACAATGGGTATACAAACCAGGTATTGAAAAAGTTTAGTCCGAAGTGTTGGTTAGTATGCTATTTGTGATGCGCAATTGTCATCATGCGCTGTTTGTGTCATGATTTATCTGGATTTGAACCTAAATGCAGACAACTACACCTAGCCAGAGAAGGTTTAACAGGTTTATTTACAAAGTTCAATTTGTCCAGGTTTCCAATAATAGGGGAAGAGCAAGTCCAGGTTTACAGGGAGGGTAACAGATCCAGGTTCAGAGCAGGTGTGGTACCGTAATGACCTAGTGTCCGTGGTGAGTCCAAAAGGGAGGTCCGGTAGTGGAAAGCAGGATGGTGGTGGCAGGAGTGAAGCGGAGGCAGGAGTCAGGTTCCAATAATCTGTGGCACAGGAGAAAAGTAACTAGAACAGGCCAAAAACACAAAGGGCGAAAACAAGCAGGTTGAGTCAACAGCGAAACTAACATGGTCGTCTTGACTATGATCTGACGATGAGTGGCAAGTTTGACCGGGTCTTAAAGGCTGAGGTGATTATGGTGAATGAGCTGCAGCTGGAACCCTGACTCCCGCACACCAGACTTCACTCCTGCAATCAAGGACAGACAGAGGGGAGGGGGAGAGCAGAGAGAGAGCTACCTAGCAGCAGTAGGCCTAACAGTTTGCATCAGGGGATGGACATGGATGGGCCTGGGTGGACAGAGGCCCACCCACTGGGGAGCCAGGCTCTGACAGGCCCACCCAATCAGATTGAAGCATTGTTGTGGACTTAGACCATCAAATTTGTGTAGTTTTTCTATTACAAAAAGTGTAATTTTGAGAGTGAAAATCTGAGAAAAAACAAGAAACCCGCACGTTGCTCTTGCTAGTATCACTGCTCTTTATTAAGCTTTACGTATCGGCCTCAAGGCCTTCGTCAGAGCATTTGTGAGTGTTCACAACCTGCACCCCTATGTAGACACTGCTCCACCCACATCCGTTCAATGCATGAAAATCTTTAAAAAATGTATAGGAATACATAGGATTTTTCACACAGGGTGCCTTTCCTTTGCGAGCCGTTTGGGAACTTTTGGGCAAAATGTTAGTATACCCCCTTCTCCAGGCACCACTACACCACTGCATTGGGCCGATGGAAAGACAGCAGTCACACACAGCATGATGTTAAAGGATAAGCAGTCCATTCACTCTGACATAATAAGCCAGTAGGTCCCAATCATAAGAATACAAAAACACAACCATTAAGCATTTCCCAATCTCAATTTACAACTATTACTTCCCATTGCTAAAAACATTTCACGTTTAGCACACAAATTAACCGGTGACCTAAAGTTTAATGTGAAACTGACAGTGTTTTAAGTACTTTGCAGATATGAAACAAACAATCATGATTTCAGTCAAAAATATACAATTCCCAGTTTATGCCACAAAGCCAACTTTATAAGAGGTTTTAAAAAATAGGTTCTATTTGACTCAACGTTCCATGACGTACACTAAGGTAATGTTGGCAGAATAGATGGAGGCAGTTCAATACATGATTAATATAATTCACCAATACATTTCTTGGTAGTCCAAAAAATATTGCTTTCAGGTTGCTGCCTCCATTTGGGATGCACTGTTTCAGTTTCAATGACTCAATATTCTGGACAAAAACATACGAATGTAACTAAGGCTGGGAATGTCAATACAATCAAACTAGCAAGGGCAATGATCACAAGTCAGTCATAACGTGGCTAATAGGCTAGTGTATCTATTTATATAGCAAGCTAAAAACACGGAGCCTAACGTTAGCTAGCTAGCTGATAGGAGGATGTCATGCCATTGGAGGAGTGGGTGAGTGACTGACTTTTTCCCCTCATATCATTTTTCATTGGCTGTACACAGCTAGAGATGCAGGTGTCATTTGGTTAGCTAGCAAGAACTTGAACGACTGTTATACAGTTAGCATATCTCTTGCGTTCGCAAATTCAGTCTGGCTATCTACTCCGAGCGCAGAACAACTGATGAATTTACAAACGCGCAACACCTGCTGAATATGACCGGTGTCAGTAAACTTAGAGAAAAAAAGTAATAGTTAGTCAAGAACGCTCTAGATAACATGTAAACAGCATAACCAGGTCTGCTACGGCAAGTAAAATGGTCAGTGAGGTGTTGTCTCATTTGTGTCTGGAATTAGCTAGCAAGCTAGCCAACTTTAGCCAGTTAGCTTGGGTGCTTGGTTGGGACAAGCGTGCATTGGTAGGCAAGCTGCAGAAGGACGAAGAGGCTACAATTCCCCATCGTTTATCAGTACAATTTTGACGACTAACTAGCTGAAAAAGTTTGAGAGGGTTTATCTAATGTTCTTTCGTTAGATTTTAGCTCATCTTGCTCTGGCTAGCATTAGTTGTAGATCTTGTTGATGTGCATAACTGAGAGTGAGAGAGAGCCTACCTTATCATGGTTGTTTGATCAATAGGACTGTAAACTTCCCAAATTATAAGATGACTCCCGTGGTTTTTACATATTTGCAGAAATCCATTCAGGTGTATTTTGTGGCTTTTGGCGAATGCGTTCTAATGATCTAAAGTCGCGCTGTTGCAACTGCCTGTAAACACACAGTCCAGTTCAAAGTGAATGATGGCAGGCCCGTGTAGCAAATGGCTTGTTTGTATAAAGGTCTACTGTAGCTCTGATTGGCTATAGCGCACCGGTCTGTGTAGACTCCGGTCCTGGACAAGACAGACGTTTTTATTCGGTTTTATTTACTGCAATGTCTATTAATTGTCTAAACGCACTGCCGCTTTCCCACTCTATACTGCTATAGAATTTTCACAAATGCCTTAGTATACATAATTCCCAAACATTCTAAGAATTTTTGAAAACGTGAAAATGACCATATCTAAGTGGTCGCTTGTCAGACCTTTTTTTTAAAGTGTCATATTCTTCCTGGGGGTGTATACGAACAGATTTTAATAATATTTCATGATGCTAAAATGCTGTCAGTTCCACTTTAAACAACAATGTTTCACACACAAGTTCTTTTCAAAGTGATGGCTAACAACAACAGCAAGCACGCTGCAATAAAAACACAGTTCCACTCACCAGATGATGATCATATTGAAACTTAACTTCTTGTTGAAAGTTATTCTTGAAAAGGGAGAAGTTAACAAATTAGCAACAACATCCTCTTTGATAACACCTGCGACAGCCGTTGCAAACTAGCCGACAACAAAAGCTAGCTTGCTAGACCATGGGAAAACTACTTCTCTCTATTGTGCAGTGAACTGTTGTGCAGTGACCTGTTGGCCTTCAAGAAGGCAGGAGTTTCCATACGTTTTTGTAAAAACGGTCCCACTCATTAAGTCAAAATGTGATTGGTTGATTCCACTGTCATGGCAGATGCCTTTATCTAGCTCCTGATGGCCTAGCCAATGGCTGACTTAGCTAGCTAGAGTAATCTCCCCAGAGAACAGCAAAGGAAAATCCTGATTGGATCTTTTTTTTCTCTTCAGTGTTGATGCTTTCCTTTCCAAAAAAACACTGAAAAGATTAAATCAGAACATCATTGAAAATAATAATATTATAATCATTAGTTTATAAATCCTTAGCCCCTCTCTGAAAGGTGTAGAATACCCATTGTTCCCCACTGTGTTTGGGTTAGTAAAAATGTGTAGAGTGGCTCGATCTTCCCTCAGTCAGAATAGTGAAAAAATGCATGCTATCTAAAGAATCCATATGTTGTTCTGAAATCAACACAGAAATTCTGGACATTGCCTCCCGAGTGGTGCAGCGGTCTAAGGCACTGCATTGCAGTGCTAGAGACCCGGGTTCAATCCCAGGCGGTGTCGCAGCCGGCCGTGTCCGGGAGACCCATGAAGCGGCGTGCAATTGTCCGGGCTAGGGGAGGTTTTGGCCGGCCGGGACGTCCTTGTTCCATTGTAGCAGTGACTTTGGTCGCCAGTTGTACGGTGTTTCCTCAAACACATTGGTGCGGCTGGCTTCCTGGTTAAGCGAGCAGTGTGTGAAGAAGCAGTGTGGCTTGGCAGGGTCGTGTTTCGGAGGACGCATGGCTCTCCCGAGTCTGTACGGGAGTTGCAGCGATGGACTGTAACTACCAATTGGATATCACAAAATTTGGGAGAAAAAGGGGTAAAAAGTATATAATGGACATTTTGAACTCTTATTATGATGGTGAGTTGACCAAATTACAATCATGGTCTTGAACTGGACTCGCATTTTTCTGGTCTCAGTCTCGGACCCCTTGTCCCCCTCCCGGTCTCGGTCATGACTCGGTCTCGCTTTAGGTGGTCTCGAACACAACACTGGGTTATGATATGGGCAGGCATAAGCTACGGACAACGAACACAATTGCATTTTTTCTATGGCAATTTGAATGCACAGAGCTACTTTGACGAAATCCTGAGGCCCATTGTGGTGCCATTCATCCGCCACCATCACCTCATGTTTCAGCATGATAATGCACGGCCCCATGTCGCATGGATCTGTAGACAATTCCTGGAAGTTGAAAATGTCCCAGTTCTTCCATGGCCTGCATACTCGCCAGACAATGTCACCCATTGAGCATGTTTGGGATGCTCTGGATCGACATGTACGACAGCGTGTTCCAGCTCCAGCAACTTCACACACCCTTTGAAGAGGAGTGGGACAACATTCCACAGGCCACAATCAACAGCCTGATCAACTCTATGCAAAGGACTGTGTCGTGCTGCATGAGGCAAATGGTGGTCACACCAGATACTGACTGGTTTTCTGATCCACGCCCCTACTTTTTTTAAAGGTATCTGTGACCAACATATGCATATCTGTATTCCCAGTTGTGAAATCCATAGATTAGGGCCTAATGAATTTATTTAAATTGACAGATTTCCTTATATGAACTGTAACTCATTAAAATCTTTGAAATTGTTGTGTTTTATATTTTTGTTCAGTGTATAATTCAGACAATGTTCTGTGTCCTCAGACTGTGAGACTTTTCGTGCACGTCACCCGGTGACGACGTACGAGCACTACCGTGAACTGGTAGGGCGAGTGGCGGCTGGAGAAGAGAAGGTCCTCATAGCTGAGAAACCCCTTATCTTAGCCATGACATCAGGTACATCTGGGGCCAGCGCCATGCTACTGAGCACCAAGGACACCAACACAGAGTTCTTCCTACAGGTCAGTCAGTGGAAATTCTCCCTATTAGCCCCAAAAACTATTTTCCTTAGCTACCATTACTTGTTGGCATATGTAGCGGTGAAGTCAAAGCTTTCAGCTATCCAATTCTAAATACTGTGCTTACACGAAGGGAGGATGACCATTTATTTTGGTCATGGCTATGTGTGTGTTTGCGTGTTTGTGTGTGTGTGTGTGTGTGTTCTTGACACTCTCTCTGTCTGTGTGTGTCCCTCCACCCCAGGGCGTGGCTGTGTGTCTGGATGCCATGCGGCGTGCCTTCCCGGCTAGCGACAGCCTCCAGCGCACCACCAAGCTCTTCTACTCACCCACCTTTCGCCAGTCAGAGGCAGGCATCCCCATTGGGCCTAACTCCTCCACCCCGGCTTCGTCGCGCCACATGCTCAACCTATACACCACACCCGCACCCGCCTTCCAGGTAAGGTTGGCACCAGGGTTGTGTTCATAAGGGCACACTGTAGCAAAATGTTTTGCAACGGAAATGAAATGTCTTATTGGAGTTCATATAGTATGTCTTTTCCGTTTTCTTCGGTTTGATTTCCAATAAACAAGACACAGTATAGAATAGAATAGTGCGTTTTTGTCAATTTTGTGAGACATGAAAATGTGCCTTCTGTGTTTGCCTTGGCTTTCTGGACATCCCCAACGTACGCATGCCTGGAGTGGCACAGGGTCAGCCACCGCACTGGAGTCAGTGCCTTTCTCAAGGACATAACGGCGGAAGAAACAGAATGCTGTTGTCACAGAAAACATATTTTTCAAATTGGAAAGTGTAAATATACTACTACGATAAACTACTACTATAATTGTGGTGCCAACCTCCCATCCAGGTGCCCAGTGAGAGAGACACCCTCTACCTGCATCTCCTCTTTGCCCTCAAAGACCCAAGTGTGGGCACCCTGGAGTCCAACTTCGCCTCTACTGTCTTTTATGCCTTCAGTGCCCTCCAGGTAGCTAGAGATAAACACACACACACACACACACACCAGGATTGGGAAAGATGGTTTACTATATTGTGTATATACTGTATAGTTATACTCTTATGTAAAGAGTACATAGGATAACCCTCCATTGCAGCGCTCTTATTACTGTGTAATTATTTATATTTGACGATGCTATCTTCTAACCTCTCCCCTCCCCCAGGAGCGTTGGCAGGAACTGGTGGAGGACATCGAGCTGGGTCGGGTCAGCCCCGCTCTGGCCCTGGAGCCAGGGGTGAGGGCCAGCCTGGAGGGCCAGATGAAGCCAGACCCGGAGCGAGCCGCCCAGCTCCGGGCCCACTTCCAGCAGGGCTTCATGGGCATCGCGCGGCGCCTCTGGCCCCAGCTCAACCTGGTGCTGGCTGTGGACTCTGGGTCTAATCAGATCTATGGGGAGATGCTGCGGGAGCGCTACTGCCAGGGGGTTCCCTTCTACTCCCCCTTCTACGCCGCCACAGAGGGTCAGTGCACAGGAAACTCATCACCTTGTGACAGCAAGAGTATAAAGGCAATGTAACAGTGGCCCTGTCTGTGTGTCTGTCTCTTACAGTGCGTGTGTGTGCATGCGTGTGCAGTAGTTGGTAGAAGCCAAAATGTATAGCAAAGACCATAACATAATCAGTGCTTGATTTAGACTAAAATAGGTGCTGGTACTCATTTTGAGTGCCTTATACTGTTTATATTTAGGTGCAGGAACTCCAAAATACCTTTGAGCTAATCGGCTAAAGAGGTGCAGGGGCTCAAGCAGTAGTAAATCTGAGGTGCCAGTACTCAGCTCCGGTGAGCACCAACCCAAGTCAAGCACTGAACATAATTTAGACGGTACTACACGTGTGTATCTGTGTCTCTTTTATTTGTCTCTCTGTGTTCCTGCACTCTTACGTTATATCTCTGTGTTAACATCCCTGTGCCCCTGCAGGTCTGATCGGGGTGAACCTGTGGCCTGAGGAGGAGCAGCGGAGGAGGTACTTGCTGTGTCCTCGCTCCATGTTCTGTGAGTTCCTCCCAGAGGCCAGTTTGGACCAGGAGATGCCAGAGAAACACACACTGCTCATGGGGGAAGTGCAGCAGGGACACAGCTACGAGCTGGTCGTCACCAACGCATCCGGACTCTTCAGGTAAAACATAATCGTACTTTAAAACATGCTAATATCAGGTATTTTGACTTCCATTGGTTTTTGGTTGCAAAAATCGTTACGTTTTATGCAGAATCAAAGTAACTTCAAACCAAGTTACTGAGCAAAGTCACAATCCCTTTCAGAGACTTTAGGATGATTTGGGCATGAGATTTCAAACTTGCTATTATTGTGTACATTGACTTCCATTGGTTTTTGGTTGGAAAATGCTAAAAAGTTAGCAAAAAATGGCAGTGGCTAAGTGTAAAAAAACCAACGTGTGGATTGCACTCTGTCCTTGTCCATAGACTGATTACAAGGTAGGGAAACAAATGTTACATTTTGTAATTTGAGTGAACTATCCCTATAACTGAAGCTCCTGCTTTTGTTAACCAAGTACTGCATTTGTGTTGGCTGATATGTGATTTGACAGGGATCTCTCTTTTTTTGTCTCATAGATATTGTATGGGAGATGTTGTAAAAGTGGTTGGCTTCCACAATCAGTGTCCAGTTGTAGAATTTCAATACAGGTACGGTACTGCATCCGGTGTGTACCTTTTCTGTACGTACGTGGGTGTGTGAGAATACCTGTGTGCTGATGGGTATAGATGCTAAGGGGAAGGTATTTGTGTGTGTGTGAGACAGTTCTAAAGTACTCTGTGTGTGCTCGTGTGTGTGCGTTTATATGCATGACCTGTGTGTGTAGGCGGGGTCAGATGCTGAGTGTGCGGGGGGAGAAGGTGTCTGAGGTGATGTTTCTGGGGGCTCTGAAGCGAGCCATCAGCCAGTGGCCCGGAGCTCAGCTAGTTGACTACTGCTGCGCAGAGAGTGCCATAATGGGTAAGATGGCTCTCTACTTGCTTTTGTTGTAGTGCCAATTGGTGTAGGGTGAAGTTGTTCCTAGACGCTGATCTTGGGTAAGTATTGTTTTTCCCCCACTAATGGTTAGTTAGTATTGGGGGAGGGGAAGCTGATCCTAGATCTGTACCTAGGGGAATCTTCACCCCCGAGTGATGCAATTCGGCTTTTGGCTGCCATGTATACAAAATACAACTAAACTGGTTTTATGGAAGCGTATGATTGGAAGTTCCCTCAGAGGGATTAGACTAATGAAAATATGGCATATTGTATGTGGGCTCCAGATTGATTTGTGCAATGGTTGATCACCATGTATCTGTTGCAGGAGAGTCATGTGGAGGTTCTGATCCTCACTATCAAGTGTTTGTGGAGCTAAAGGGGGTGAGGAACCTGACAGAGGAGCAACGCTACAAGGTAGGGAATCGTTTCTGTTCAGTTTCACTTGTTTCATTTCAATACCTGTCAACATGAGTTTGAGTTTTATTCTTTCTGTTTTATACCAATGCCTGGAGAACTTGTTCCATAACTTGTTTTGGTTGTGGATGAATGATTGTGTGATTATGATGGAAAATAATATATTGCTCCTGAAATCCCTCCTATTTTGCCTCTTCTCTTTCTCTTTCTCACTCTCTAACTCCCTCTCTTTCACACAAACACACACACTCTAAAATACCATCTCGCTTGCTTGCACACACATACAAACAAAACAAAAATACACACACACACACACACACCCTGCACCTGTTCACCAGTTGGACCAGTGTGTCCAGGAGGACTCGGCCGTCTACAAGTCGTTCCGGTTCAAAGGCAGCATCGGACCAATGAGAGTGCAGATGGTGGCAGAGGGCGCATTCAAGGAACTGCGTAAACAAATGATGGCCTTCTCCAACACCTCGGCCAACACGTTCAAAATGCACCGCGTACTACGCAGAAAGGAGTACGCCGACTTCTTGTTAGGGAAGACCATCTCCTGAATGCCTGCTGAAAGGCATTATGGGAAGCATGTGTGTTATGCACTGCAACCGTGGAGAGGAATATTATTCTCTGAAAGGGAATGTCATTTGTTGACAGTCATTTTAGGAGACAGGCAATCTGTGGAAATGACGAATGATAACTATCGTTTGGTATCCCACTGAACAGCCACAGCAACAAGAATATTTAAAATCATGAGGATTTCTGCTTTCTTATAATTGACACCATCTGTGTGTTAGAAACAAAGTCCAACTGGTTGTCTTGTCAACATTCTCCACCCCTTACATGGTGGAAATCAGTATCTTTCCATCCAAACTTAGACAAAAGTATTTTGACTAATGGAACAACTGATTGTAAATCCACAGGCATCTAATGCACACTCCTTCAGTGAAGATGATTTTCTTGCTATTTTGGACAGTTAACCTGTGCTGGATAAACTTTACATACAATGTTTATGGACACTTAAGTTATTATAATACATTAGATTTTGCTTTGCCCCTATCTTGTCCAACTTCATGGACTGACTTTGCCCTTTGAACCTTGACAATTACAGACAAAATCCAGTCTTGTACAACAATGTTTATTTACAAATTAAAAGTGCTAACTCTGTATTCTGTTCTTACACCATCTTACACCTCCACAACGCAGTCAAAGGGAGAGTAGTGAGAGTGGAGCTGCCACTTGGCCATCTTGCTAGAGGCCAGGGGTGTTTCAATTCCTGGAGGGCTGTTTGTCTGCTGGTTTTTGTCATTTCCTTTCAATTTGTGTCCAATTAAGACCTAGACATAGAGGGGAGTTCCTAACTAATCAATTACCTTAATTGATCAATCAAGAAGAAGAAAAGTGAAAACCTGCAGACACTCAACGCTCCAGGACTGGGGTTTGACACATGCTCTAGACCATGGCCCGGTTTCCCAAAAACATCTTAAGGCTAAGTTCATCGTTAGAACCTTCGTAGGAGCATCGTTTAATCCCCGAACTGTTTCCCAAAACCATCGTTAGTAAAGTTAGGTTAAAGGGTTAAGGTTTGGCGAAGGGTTAGCTAAAAGGATTAGGTTTAGGGGAGGGGTTAGCTAAAAGCATTAGGGGAAGGGTTAGCTAACATGCTAAGTAGTTGCAAAGTAGCTAAAAAGTAGTTAAAGTTGCTAATTAGCTAAAATGCTGGAGTTGTCCATGATGAGATTCAAAACCTTTGGGTTGCTAGACGTTTGCATTATATGTTATGCCACCCTACTTTCATTTTTTCCTTAAGTAACCATCTGGCTTATGTAACAAAACGTAACATATCATACTAATTTGAGTGTCCCGGATTTACCTTTACTATGTAACGTCTAGTCTATGAGACCAGGCTGAACAGCTAAGTACTTCATTAAAGCTTTTTTGCCCTTACTCGTCACATTATACACAGAAGAGCTCCACTAAACATATAATCAAGCTGTTTATCTGTCTCTCTGTGACTGTCGATAACTTTGGAACAAAGTTGACTACAAATAAAAGTTGCCAATGACTTTGCAATTGAACAAGTGAAGGATAAAAATATGCTTAAATTGAAAACCGAGATGACTGCATTACAAAATAAATATAGTAGGCCTATACTCTACCTAGGCCTATATACTGTATTTCAATCATATTGAAATAAATGTAATGTTCAGTCAATTGAGTTCTATTTGCATGAGTTACACATATATATATATATATATATATATATATATATATACACACACACACACACAGTACCAGTCAAATGTTTGGACACACCTACTCATTCAAGGGTTTTTCTTTATTTTTTACTATTTTCGACATTGTAGAATAATAGTGAAGACATCAAAACTATGAAATAACACATATGGAATCATGTAGTAACCAAAAAGAAGTGTTAAACAAATCAAAATATATTTTATAATTGAGATTCTTCAAATATCCACTCTTTGCCTTGATGAAAGCTTTTCACACTCTTGGCATTCTCTCAACCAGCTTCACCTGGAATGCTTTTCCAGCAGTCTTTAAGGAGTTCCAACATATGCTGAGCACTTGTTAACTGCTTTTCCTTCACTCTGCCGTCCGACTCATCCCAAACCATCTCAATTGGGTTGAGGTCGGGGTATTGTGGAGGCCAGGTCATCTGATGCAGCACTCCATCACTCTCCTTCTTGGTAAAATAGCCCTTACACAGCCTGGAGGTGTGTTGGGTCATTGTCCTGTTGAAAAACAATTGATAGTCCCACTAAGCGCAAACCAGATGGGATGGCGTATCGCTGCAGAATGCTGTGGTAGCCATGCTGGTTAAGTGTGCCTTGAATTCTAAATAAATCACTGACAGTGTCACCAGCAAAGCACCCCCAAACCATCACACCTCCTCCTCCGTGCTTCACGGTGGGAACCACACATGCGGAGATCATCCTTTCACCTACTCTGCGTCTCACAAAGACACGGCGGTTGGAACCAAAAATCTCAAATTTGGACTCATCAGACCAAAGGACAGATTTCCACCAGTCTAATGTCCATTGCTCGTGTTTCTTGGCCCAAGCAAGTCTCTTCTTATTATTGGTGTCCTTTAGTAGTGGTTTCTTTGCAGCAATTCGACCATGAAGGCCTGATTCACGCAGTCTCCTCTGAACAGTTGATGTTGAGATGTGTCTGTTACTTGAACTCTGTGAAGCATTTATTTGGGCTGCAATCTGAGGTGCAGTTAACTCTAGTGAACTTATCCTCTGCGGTCCTCATGAGAGCCAGTTTCATCATAGCGCTTGAAGGTTTCTGCGACTGCACTTGAAGAAACTTTCAAAGTTCTTGACATTTTCCAGATTGATTGACCTTTTGTCTTAAAGTAATGATGGACTGTTGTTTCTCTTTGCTTATTTGAGCTGTTCTTGCCATAATATGGACTTGGTCTTTTACCAAATAGGGCTATCTTCTGTATACCACCCCTACCCTGTCACAACACAACTGATTGGCTCAAACGCATTAAAAAGGAAAGAAATTCCACAAATTAACTTTTAACAGGGCACAACTGTTAATTGAAATGCATTCCAGGTGACTACGTCATGAAGCTGGTTGAGAGAATGCCAAGCTTGTGCAAAGCTGTCATCAAGGCAAAGGGTGGCTACTTTGAAGAATCTCAAATAAAAAAATATTTTGATTTGTTTAACACTTTTTTGGTTACTACATGATTCCATATGTGTTATTTCATAGTTTTGATGTCTTCACTATTATTCTACAATGTAGAAAATTGTAAAAATAAAGAAAAACCCTTGAATGGGTAGGTGTGTCCAAAATTTTGACTGGTACTGTGTGTATATATATATATATATATATATATATATATATATATAATAAAAAATTACAAATCATGTTTTAAGTGAGAAGTAGGAATTGGTCTGAAGCCAAAAAGTAAAATAAATTCACGAGCACCACAATGCGTACTTCACCCATGCTCTACCAAGGTTTTCAGCACACAGCTTTGACCTACTACAGTAGCTATGTTGGTCTATTGTACTTCCAACAATGTGTAGGCAGGTTGCTTAGGATTCAAACCTTCTCAAACAGCTTAATTCATACTCTTCAGAGGGATAATGGACTTTACAGTGACCCGCTATTAAAATAATGTTTATCATTAGGCTATAGTAGGTCAGAGTTACTACATGATTCCATATGTGTTATTTCATTACATTTTACATAAATTTTCATCATTTAGCAGACACTCTTATCCAGAGCGACTTACAAATTGGTGCATTCACCTTATGATAGCCAGTGGGACAACCACTTTACAATATATATATATATATATATATTTTTTTCTTTGGGGGGGGGTATTCCTTAAATAGGTGGGGTTTCAAGTGTCTCCGGAAGGTGGTGAGTGACTCCGCTGTCCTGGCGTCGTGAGGGAGCTTGTTCCACCATTGGGGTGCCAGAGCAGCGAACATAGTTTTGATGTCTTCACTATTATTCTACAATGTAGAAAACAGTCAAAATAAAGAAAAGCCCTTGAATGAGTAGGTGTGTCCAAAGTTTTGACTGGTTTTGTATAATTTGTGCCTCAATCTCAATGATGTGTAACGTGCGCAACGATGTGCTTAATTAATCTGAGTGCATTACCATAGGGTAAGCATTAGAATAAGCCACCTCAATATTTGGAGCCATTAGATAATCTCTCTCTAGGAGCTGATCCTCGTCAGTATTGTGGGATAATTATAATGTTAAGGTAAGATTTGAATGGAGAAGCTTACCAGAGTGCAATTCTGCCTTTCTTTCAATCCTATCAGTATCGACACATGCTCCAACGACGCAGTTAGCTAACATTCTTTCTGCCTGGTGTTTTGGGAAAAGCATGTTACATCTTCGGCCGTTGTAGGAAAGATGTATCATTTAAAACACTTGTAAGCCTAAATTCCATCGTTATCAGGAAACCAGGCCCAGGGCTGTTCAATTCCACTCTCCATTCTCTCACTGGTGCCCTAGAACAGGGTTTCCCAAACTCTGTCCTGGGGCCCACCCTGGGTGCATGTTTTGGTTTTTGCCCTAGAACTACACAGCTGATTCAAATAATCAAAGCTTGATGAGTTGGTGATTTGAATCAGCTGTGTAGTGCTATGGCAAAAACCAAAACGTGCACCCGGGGGCCCCCAGGACCGAGTTTGGGAAACCCTGACCTAGAGTCTAGAGCAGGGCTGTTCAATGTCTGTCCTGGAGGGCCAAACCACTTCTGTTTTTTGTTTCTGCCTGTTAGTTAATTGCACTCACCTCGTGTCTCAGGTCTGAATTAGTCCCTTATTTGAAGTAGAGGCCGACATCCCTGCTCTAGACTCTAGAGGGCACTAGTGCCCAGTGTGAGAATGGAGAGTGGAATTGAACAGCCCTGGGCCCGGTTTCCCGATAGCAATGGAACTTGAAAGCTCTGCAATGTATTGGGTTCTGAATGAAGAGTATGTTGTTAATTTTATTCTCCTGCCCTGCATGTCCTCTGTGCTCAAAGTGGGCTGGTATTTTTAGAAACGTCCCA